CCCCCACCACACACAGCAACCCTACCCCCACCACACACAGCAACCCTACCCCCACACACACAGCACCGCTACCGCCCACAGCACAGCACCCTTACCCCACCCAGCACCCCTACCCTCACACAGCACAGCACCCCTACCTCCCCAAACAGCACAGCACCCTACACACACACACACACACACACACAGCACCCTTCACACACACACACAGCACCCTTCACACACACACACAGCAACCTTCAGACACAGCACCCCTCCCCCCCACACACAGCACCCCACACACAAACACATACACTGCACTCCTCAATGCAGTATGTGTATTCAGCGGACTGTGTGTGTATGTTTTCAGCAGTCTGTGTGTGTGTATTCAGCAGTCTGTCTGTATGTGTATTCAGCAGAATGTGTGTGTGTGTGTGTGTGTGTGCATTCATCAGTCTCTCTATTCAGCAGTCTTGTGTGTGTGTATTCAGCAGACTGTGTGTATGTATTTAGCAGTTCAGTTCTTTTAAAACAAAAGTTGTTAATTATTTCGGACAACTGTACGAGTTGTTTTTTCTAAACTTAAACCTCAGTATTCATGTTTAATTGCCGTGTTGGCACTTTGAGGGAAAAAAAAAGTTGGCATGTACTTCTATTTGGGCACTTGGGCTCAAAAAGGTTCGCCATCACTGTTATAAGCTGTCATTTACACTTGATAGGTAGTATAAAAAAATAATACAGAAAAGAGATATAAAACAATGTTTCTATTTTACTTTAGTTATTTGCAATATTTTGAACACAAAAGTATATAAATGGTGGAGTATCTTACATGAAATTGAGATACGATTAGGATCATTTGTAATCCTTTCAATTTTTTTTTAATTTTCTATTTGTATGCCTTACAATATTGCACTAGTGTTTGTTTTTCCTGTGTTAATCGCAATGTAGGATTTCATTCTGTATACCATCTCAATCTCATGTAAGAAACTCCACTGTTTATATACTTTTGTGTTTTGGATTTGGTGTGGATTAAGGGGATACCACACAGGTGTTAGAGTATCAGAAATTGTTTGTTGATGCACTGGGAATCTGCACACATATTGTATTTTACTATTTGCAATATTTGACCCTATTTTGTCTTGCCTGAAATGTATTATGATATAATTTGCAAAATATGCAATACAAATGTAAAAGAAAAAGTGGCATCTCATACACCACATGTTATATTATTATATTAAATAGTTTAGTCAGTTGCGTAGATTGCAGAAAATTGATAGTACCCCTCTAATCAAATCAGGCTGTCAGTTGTTCAACACCCTATTTTCTATTAAAAACCAGGTTTATGTCTCTGTTTGCCTCAGGTTCGTTTAGTTGTGTCTTGTTCCCTAAATGTAGGCTTCCTTATAACAATCAGGTCATACTCAGGGTTTATTGGTGAAAGTGCTGCTTACTCCAATTTAGAATGGAAAAGCGCCTTTAATGGTTTAAACATCTAATCTGAGACTAACTGTGTTTTTTGTTTTCCTAGCTTTGTCAAAACAATCATACTAGTGCAAATAGGGCTTTTTAAATGACAAGTCCACACCAATAAACAACTTTAGCTTGCTGAAGTTCTTTAAGGGTGAGGAGAATCCTATTTGAACCACAGTTTATATAAAAAAAATCAGCTCCCCAGATGCTGCAAAAACCCAGGTAAAGCTAAGGCCTATCTCTTTGTTATAAACTCATGGAAATCGCACCTGCAAAATCTCCTACCTATAGAGAACAGTGGAATAAAGAAGGGATACAGGTGACATTCTGCTATTCCCATATTGAAGCACATAAAAAAACTAGTATACCGATGGTACCTGACCACCAGACGTTTGAACAAAATATACCCAAATGTGCAACCAACTTGCTGGAGGTGTATCAAAAAAAAGGGGAATGTGAGACATATTTGGCTAGACTGCCCAATCATACAACCATTATATAAGGATACTCGAGAAGTGCTTCAATCCTTTCAGATACCTGATGCCTAAATTACTCCTAATCTAACATTGCTTTTATGATTCCCACCCTCCTGGTCCAAGACACACAAAAAGGTGGTGAGAATAGCCACCTTTGGCAACTAGAAACGTCATAACCCTAAACTGGAAAACAACACATCACCCCTCAAAG